TCTCTTTCAGCATTTCAGTCAGTTAAGGTCTGGTCTTTGACCGAGCCATTGCAACTTCTTGATTCGTTTCTTTTTTCAACCATTCTGTTGCAGATTTGCTTCTGTGCTTGGGATCATTTTACTGTTCAATGAGTCAATTACAATTTTTCCCTGTCACAAAGGTGGCTTCACATGTGACTCTAGAATACTTTGGTATACAGAGGAATGACTGCAACTTCCTGTTGCTGCAAAACAAGCCCAGAGTATTACAATTCCACCACCGTGCTTGAGAGCTAGTACGAGGTGCATGTGCTGATATGCTATGTTTTCACCAAATATGATGCTGTGCATTATAGCAAAAGATATTATAATAGTGAGATATATAATATAATAGTGAGAATAAGGTTTTTCACTATAGAATGATGGACATCAAATTGTTTGGAAGTTTCTTTATAAACTTTTCCGGACTGATAGGCAGCCTTTGCTTTGCTCCTTGGCATTAACACACACCTGAATGCAGCAGACCATCAAACTGCCAAAAGTTCTACTTCTTTAAAGGTGCTCATACTCACTGACAATCAATTAATTAAGTGCATTTAATTAGCAGGACCTGTCTGCTACTTCCTCTGTTAATTCCTATGGAAACAGTAAGAGTGCACTTAGTTTTTCACACTCTGCTTCTGCACTTTGGCTTAGTTTTTGTGGACGACACTGTGTAATATGTCATATGTTGATGTTATTTTGTTGTTCAGCTGAAGTTTCGGTCCTAACTAAGAACCAGAGTGATTATGTCCAGATATGTAAATGGTGTACTTTCTTTTTTTTTCTTTTTTACCTTGATCATTTATTAAAATCAAAATCAAACAAAGATGCTTGGTTTCTCTTGATGTAGGAATGTTTTACATTGTAGGTCTGATTCAAACTGACACAAATTCACGCCAGTCTTTATTTTGTTTGTCTTTTAACTTTAAATATTAATGTTAAGCTCCTCTATGGGACTTTGTGCAGTTTTTAAATAGATACCAAAGACACGTTTAATTGTTGTTACAGTATAGAAATGTTCACGGCGAATAGTACGTTTGTATCAGCAAAACTTTTTACTTCATTTTTTAATATAATTTTTACAAAAACATTCAAACCAGTCCAGTTTCTATTAATAAAATCAATTGTTGCCATAAAGCTGGGTGCTTTTAATTTTTTAACTCTGCATTATTAATTGTTAATGACATGAGACTCTTATTAAACTCTTTTTTCAAGGTGTATTCTTCTTGGAGGTGTGTCTTCCTTTCTTTGATAGTCACGACGATTGCTCTTGACTCCATTAGTTCTGTCTGCAGCCAGCGCGGGTATTCTGCAGCCGGCTCACTGATGCTCTATTTTGAAAGATGGTTCACCCGGAAGGTTCACAGAAAAAAAATAAACATAATCTCTACAGAAGTTAGCTCATCTAGTATCTAACACTCCTTTCCTAGACATAAACAAAGGTTTCCTGACAAACATTGTAGACTGCAATCACATACTGGTTTTATTTTCCATTAAATTTTTCGATTAAGGTTCTGTAACATTATCTCTCTGAATGCTGCTTCACTGTTGTCATAGGACAGAAATATATTTATTTTCACATTTTTTTCTAAAATTAATCAAATATAAATATATGGTCTATAAAAAGCCTTTATAAAAGCCTTAAGCATAACAGTAATATAATCATATAATAATAATATAATCATAATAATCAGATAATAAACATAATAATACTATACATTAATCATAATAATGTTAATAGTCACAGCGTTTTTCATGTATCTGTTGGATTTTGTATAGTACTGAAGAGAATTTCTGTGTTTCTTAAGTCAAGATGCAAATCTAAGCAAAGCTGTAAAGGGTTTGTTGTTGTTGTTTTTTGTTGTTGCTGTTGTTTTTTAGTTTTACACAATTCAGTTGCATATTTTAGTCATTTAATTTTTAAGGTATGTGTTGATGGATTTTGTGTCATTTTGATAAAGTTTTGAATTATTTTCCTTTAGATCTTAATTCAGTTCTGGTCTTTAGTGTAGGTAGGTACTTTATTAATGCCAAAAGGGACATTACTGCAGGATAAATGATTTAAAACATGTATGAAAACAATGAAAACATCATTGTACCACAGCACACAGGTCCGGTACCACAGGTCCGGAGTGAAGGCCTTAATGTCACACAGAGCAAACATTTTGTATGCATACACAGTGATTAAAAAAATGATATAGCCTCTTTATTACCGATATTATCTGCAGCACATGTAGCACACCATGCATCACAGGCTCTACTTCAGAGGCTAAACTCCAAATTTCAATGTCTAAATCTTAAAAATCACACTTTAAGATGTATGCATGTGCAGCATACTGTCACCTTCACTCGCTCATATCTCACTCAGGAAGAATGGGATTGAGATTGCGAGTTTAGAGCTGTAGTTTTCCCAGATGAGAGAGCCGCTGGTGCGGTGGGAAACAGAGACGGAGTGAGAACTCTCCACGTGACTCTTCTCTCTGCAGGCACGCGGGCTTCTCTCCGCCAGTGCGTTGATTGTTGCGGTTCCTCGTCACCCGAAGAAAGTTGTTCGGCTCGTGGTGAATTTGTGTAGTTCTGTTTTATTTTAAAAAATAAATTAACTATGGCAGACTCACAAGAGGACAAGCTGTACAGGGTAGAATACGCCAAAAGTGGCCGCGCGTCGTGCAAAAAATGCAAAGAAAACATAGCTAAAGACTCGCTGAGGATGGCTATCATGGTGCAGGTAAGGTGGCGACGTGTGGAGGCAAAGCCGCTCCGTTAACTGGCTTGCTATCTGGGTGCTGCTATCTGAGTAAAGCATGCGGGCTGTGGTACGGGTGTAGTGGATGGGTAGGAGCAGACTGGAGAGTAGGGAAATACAGCTTATGGTGTGGTTTCAGTTGCGCCGAATCAGGCCCTCGTTAGCATTTAAATGGCTGACATTGTCTGTGCACTCCTGTCCATCACAAAGAGCCGCGGAGCCTTTTTGTCTCTGTCTGGCTATTATGCATCTTGCATTTCATGAGCTAATTTAATTTATGCTTGAAGGCTGCAGATATTCAGAGTTTGTCTACCCCAGAAGACAAATAATAGGAAAAAAAAATCACAGCACACAGAAGCAGAAATACCACTGCGTGGTAACTGCTGCTACCCCACAGAGAGGTAATCACTTAAAGAGTCGGAGAGCTGCTTATGTGGCTGCCTGTTTACTCATGGTTGATGGGAACAGCTCAGGATTCTCAGGTCACTCAACTTTTCTCTCTAAAGACCTGCCACATTCAGTCTGTGTAATTCATACAAATCAGCAAAGTGTAAAGTACTTTTTGTGCACTTCATGCACCTTTTTTATGAATGTAGGGGTCACACAGGGCTCTATTCTTGAGCCACTTTAGTTTACACATTGTATAAAGTATGCCTTAGTAAAAGAAGAAAAAGATTTTTTTGAATCTTTGTATATAAACCTTAAAAAATGTGTCATGTCCTAAATATACAATATTTATTCAATTTTCATAGCTATACATGCTAGAAAACAGCATGTTTACATCTTATTTTTTTATACTGATGTCCATAAAAATGTCTCAAAGCCATGGGCTGTTTGTCAAAATTTTGCACAACCTGGATTTAACTCAAGAGTAGTTCCAAAGTATCTTTGTGTCATGTAATAAATGGATTGAATGCCCTACACATAACATTGCAATGGTAAAGAAAAGAGATGATTAAATAAGTCTGGCAGGAAAATATTACCCTTCTGAGGCATCATATAACCATCGAGCTGGAAGAAGCAATTAGAGACGCTTTACACTGTAAAGTTAAACATCTGTGTTTGTTTTTTTGTTCTCCAGTCTCCCATGTTTGATGGGAAGGTCCCCCACTGGCACCACTTTTCCTGCTTCTGGCAGCGAGCATCAGCTCAGTCCACCGCTGATATCGCTGGGTTTTCTGATCTCCGCTGGGATGACCAACAGAAGGTGAAAAAGGCCATAGAAAGCGGTGGCGCCGCAGGAGGTCAGTACTTCAGTTTTATTAGGCTGTGACCCCTCGTGGAAATGGTTGGACGACTTAATTAATGTTATCTTAAGCTTCTTTTAGTTATAATAGGCAATCGGAGGAGTAACAGTGTTACTAAGCAGCGGTTAAACATTGCTATATCAAAGAATCAATCAGTGCAACAGCAAAGACAAATCATAAAGTAATTTCACTCTTTAGTGTAAATGCCCTTATCATGAGAGGAGAACATAATTACCTGCTCAGTCACAAGGATTTATAGCAGTTGTTGACTTTGGAAAGAAAATCAAAGACTGTATTATATATTTTAAATGGTTTCCTGATGACTAGACTATAGGTGAAGCTTTGGTAGGCTTATTTAGAGCTGAACACTGAGTCTGTCAGTCATTTGAATGAAAACAGACATCTATTTCAATTTTAGTTGGTCTGACATAACTCAGATTTAACCTATACATATATCTATACATCTGTAGACTCATCATGATATGTTTTATTACTGATAACTGAACCAGCTATAAAAAGATATACATGTTCAATTTTTGATCTTGTAGGGAAAGGTGACCAGAAGGGTGGCGCTAAAGGCGAGAAGACGCTGAATGACTTTGCTGTGGAATACGCCAAGTCAAACCGCAGCACATGCAAAGGCTGTGAGCAGAAAATAGAAAAGGTTTGCGACTGCTTTTATTGTCTGAAAACTGTTGTTTTAATTTAATTATTTAATCATCTGGTGGGTTAACTTTGTCATTTTCCCATAAATATTTGATCCATTTGAACCTCCAGGATCAGATTCGTGTGTCCAAGAAAACTGTGGACCCCGAGAAGCCACAGCTGGGTCTTATTGACCGCTGGTACCACACAGCGTGTTTCGTGAGCCGCAGGGAGGAGCTGGTTTTCAAGCCCGAGTATAGCGCCGCTCAGCTGAAGGGATTCAATGCACTGCGGGCAGAGGACAAAGAAGAGCTCAAGAAGAGGCTCCCTGCTGTCAAATCTGAGGGGTGAGCCAAAATCATTTATTCGGTTTAAAGCCTGGGATTAAAGTTATGATCAGGTCTAGCGTTGATCCCTGCTGTTGGTCTCATTTAAAGCCTCTCTGTCCACCACTGTCCTGCAGCACATAAAAATAGCTTTAAATGTGTCCCTGAAAGCCGTCATGGTATAGGCATAAAGGAAAGGGTTGACAGCAGAGTTTGCGTGTGACAAGATGATGGCTGTGAGCAGAAGCTCAAGAGGTACATAGCAGCGTGGACACAGAAGCAGGAAGCAGTTGATAATGTGAAGTGGGATCCAGCAGACCGTAAAGAGGAAAAGAACCAGAAAGAGAGAAGTAGCTGTCTTCATCTCTCGCCGCATGCTGGCCGCGGTCCTGATTTGTCCGTCACCTCTGCCGCTTTGCTCAGATGTGATGCGCCGCACTTGGTGCTTAACTGTGACAAAGATTTGGGCGTAGATGAGGAACATGATCACCAGAGGAGTGAGCACGCAAGCAAAGAAATTGAAATAGACCATGTAGGTCATGTCCACCACAAGGACGAAGAAACAGTAGCCCGTGTCAGGCGGCGTCTTGTGCCAGCCCATCAGAGGCACAAGTCCGATGAGAAACGCCAGAATCCATGTGGCGAGGATCACCAGCACAGCGTTGCGAGGCGTCATCAGGACCTGGTATCGGAAAGGCATGAAGATGGCGATGTAGCGCTCCACAGCCACTGCCAGCAAGCTGAAGATGGAGCTCTGGGTGAACATGATTAAAACGCTGAGCATGAGAAGACACAGGTAGAGATTGTGGCGCGGCATGCCAATGTCGGTCAGGATGGCACAGGGAATGGCGATTGCGCCCACACAAATGTCAGCAACTGCGAGCGAGACCAGGAAGTAGTTGGTGACGGTGCGCAATTTGCGGTTGAGGCCCACAGCGACACAGACCAGTAGATTTCCTGTAGTGGAGAAAAAGGCGATGACGAGCTCAGCCGCCATGTACGTCACGTTGGGGGAAATCACCAAGTCTTCAGGTGGAGGCGACGCTGAATAGGAGGCATTAGAAATGGAAGCAGATGAAAAGTTCTGGAAAGCTTTTAGAAAAGGGGGCAACAGATGGGAGTTGCTTGTTGTTTTTTGGAAAGTGTAGAGTTGGAACAATGCTGTGGTGGCCTCCATGTTTGTCCTAAAAAGAGAAATAAGGTGCAAAACAAACTTGGAGTGGTAATAAAATGCATTAAAAAAGGAAAATTACTCACCCGTCTGCAGCAGCTCGCATCTGTTTACGATGATTTTAGCAGAGAATCTAAAAGCTTCTTCAGTATTATTCTTTCACTGGCCGTCTTCACTCAGAAAAAAAGCAAACAGACTTCTGCTGAAACGCATTACCACATTGATTTATGTGCAGCCCCACCCCCATCCTCCTCCTCCCCATAGATTCAGCTGTTGTCTGATGAGTGAGTTTTGTCTGAGACTTGGATGGTCATTAACTGAAACACGTGTGCATGTCTGGTCTCCCAGGATGCTAAAAGCATTTTACTAGTCAGAGCAGAATGCACGATATCAACACTGACACCTGGGGCTGTGCAGACATGTACCAACTTGCGTTTGTGTGTGTCCATTAACTGATTAGGCCCAATTGGATCTGCTTAATGACTGAAGGTGTCAGAATCAGGCTTGTTGTTCCTCATCTTGACTGCTATCCCGTGTTCCTCTGAGGCTCATTTAGGAAGCTAATTTGGATGTTTTTTCACCTTCCTTTTGTCCTTGTTGAACTAACTGGAAAAAAAAAGTTTTAAAGAAATGTTATGTTTGTCCTCACAGAAAGCGGAAAACTGATGATGTTGATGGAGCATCAAAAAAACAGAAGAGAGAAGAAGACGACGAGAAGAAAAAGCTAGATGAACAGTTAAAGGTACTTTTTAATGTTACTTCTCACGTGTTAAACTTTGATATTTTCCGATGTTGCATTAATTTGTTTGTGCGTGTGTCTTGGCTGCACTTCTCTGCAGAATCAAAGCCAGCTTATTTGGGGAATTAAGGACAAGCTGCGAAAATATTGTTCAGCCAATGATATGAAGGAGCTGCTGATTGCAAATGGCCAGGAAGTTCCCTCTGGAGAGACCAATGTAAGAGAAGCTTGTTGTATTTTGTGTCTAACGTAGCATATTGGAAAGGAGATGATTCTATATTTACTGCTCATGAATACAGTTAAAGCTAAAATTTTCTGAGGAGTGCTGCTGTTCTTCTGTTTGATGACGAATGTTTTTGGACTTGCAGGTAGTTGACAGCCTGGCCGATGGTATGGCTTTTGGTGCTCTCGAGGCCTGTAAGGAGTGCCAGGGCCAGCTGGTGTTTAAGGGTGACGCCTATTACTGCACAGGAAACATTTCTGCCTGGACAAAGTGTGTGTTCAAAACCACAACACCCCTACGCAAAGACTGGGTCATTCCCAAGGTTGGTCACCTCATCTCACTCTAACTATATGTAGACGTCTTTTCCACAGTTGCAGAACAAGTTTGTCTTTGTTACCTTTTAACAACTAGTCCACATTCCTGTTAGCACAGCACAAGCTGGAGCAATTACTATGGCTGGATAGCTGCCCTGGACAAAATCTGTGGGCTGCATGTGTCAGTCTGTATTATATTTCTTGCAGTAGCCCCTCCCGTAGTCACTGAATCATCCTAAGTTTTCTGTGGTGGTACTGTCTTAGTTTTTTGACACCAACAACAGTCTTTCCTGGTGGAGCGTGTGAAACTTTCTAGAATACGTACTGTCACCAATGGGAAAATGAAAAGTAAATAAATGAGGTGGCCTTAGCCAATGAGCAGGACTGAGGAAGAAAAATTAAACTGCTATAAAAAACTAATTTGTAGTTACCTGTTTGCTCTGTGTCTCTGAAATAGTCTCTCTTTCCATTTTAGGAATTCCACGAAGTTTCTTTTCTGAAAAAATTCAAATTCAAGCGGCAGGACAGGGTTTACCCTAAAGAGGCTCCCACAAAAACCCTGACAGCGGCCAAATCAGAACCACTACCGAGTGCATCCAGCGCTCCGACCGAGCCACTGCCACAGGGAGCACCTTCAGGTGAGAAAAACTTAAAAGACTGTGTAAAACATTAAAAATCTTCCTCCCTCTTGGTACCACAGACAAAATGCAATGAAAAAATTCTTAACATTTTTCTTGTTATTAACAAAATGTTTTATTCTGTGTGTTTTGTCCCTTAGACAAGCCTCTTACTGGCATGAAGCTGCTGACTGTGGGCAAGCTGACTAAGAACAAGGATGATCTGAAAGCTGCTGTGGAAGAGCTCGGTGGAAAGATTACCGGCACAGTCAACAAGGCCTCATTGTGTATAAGCACCAAGAGTGAGTAACGATTTGTTAAAGAGAGAATTATCACAAGTACTCTCAGTAAGAAAAGGAATGATATAACATCAAACTTTGCCATGTATTGACAGAGGAGGTGGAAAAGATCAGTAAGAAGATGGAGGAAGTAAGGGACGCTGGCGTGCGTGTGGTCTCTGAGGATTTCCTCACTGACATCAAGTCATCGGGCAAAGCCCTCCAGGAGCTGGTCTCCCTGCACGCCATCTCCCCCTGGGGGGCAGAGGTTAAAGTCGAAGCTCAGGCTCCATCTGTGGCCTCTAAGTCTGGAACACAGGCTACTAAGAGCACAGGGAGGGTGAAAGAGGAGGAAGGTAAAGGGCACTTAATGTGGAAATACTGAATGAATGCATTAGAACAATTGCGGCAGTATACAATGTGACATTTAGTGCATACATTAAACAGTTGTGGCATTACAGGTGGTAGCAAATCCAAGAAGATGAAACTCACAGTCAAAGGTGGAGCTGCTGTGGATCCAGACTCAGGTAGTCATTAGTACCATGGACTGAAAATGCTTCATTTCTCTTTTTTTTTCCCCCACAATTTTAATTAATTATTATTTTTTTTCCCAGGTCTGGAGAACAGTGCCCATGTCTTGGAGCAGAGTGGGAAGATGTACAGTGCTACACTCGGTCTTGTGGATATTGTCAGAGGAACTAACTCTTACTATAAACTGCAGCTGCTTGAGGATGATGTGCAGAAACGGTAATCGGACCTCTTTGTGTTGGCTGCAGTTAGGCTTTGCCTATTGTTTACTATTTCCCCCCCATTCGTGGAAATGTTATCTATCCAGACACTAACTCATGTATCTCTTCCCTCTGTGACATGCGTGTAGGTACTGGGTGTTCAGGTCATGGGGCAGAGTGGGTACAACTATCGGAGGAAACAAGTTGGACAAATTCCATGATAAGAACTCTGCTCTGGATAATTTCCTGGGTGTGTACAAGGAGAAGACGGGCAATGACTGGGGCTCCTCCAACTTCACCAAATATCCCAATAAGTTCTACCCGCTGGAGATTGACTATGGACAGGTACACATACACAGTAATAAGTCAACATCTCGTCTGACATGTTGTGGATTTTTAATTTCTTAGTGACCCCTTGTGTTTCTGTGCAGGATGAGGAGGCAGTGAAGAGGCTGACAGCCACGGCTGGCACCAAGTCAAAGCTGGCCAAACCTGTCCAGGAGCTAATCAAGATGATCTTTGATGTAGAAAGCATGAAGAAGGCCATGGTCGAGTTTGAGGTAAGACTTGCCTACCACACACTGAAATCAGGATCTTCCAGTTCTTTGGGTTATTTTTACAATTTCGCCCGATGTGGTATTTACTTCACATTGTCACAAGTTCATTCATTCAAGTCAGATGGATAAAACATATGCAGTATACAGTAATATTTTGACTTAGAAGTACAACTTTAAGAAGTATATTAAAATAAATAATAAATAATTAAATAATTTCCCCCAGGGATCAATAAAGTATTTTGATTCTGATTCTGAAAAAAAAACAAAAAAATCCTGTCTGATGCTGTGGATTGACGTCTGGATAAATGTAAATGTGCTTTAGTTTTTGACATTTTAGGCTGTTGTCACAGACATAAAAATAATTTACTGATGTTTAAGAGATTAAACAATTTAAGGAAAATACTCGTCTTCATTCACAAAGAGAACATTTTAAGTGCTTTTTATTTTAGCAGCAGATTAGATAACTCTTCTAATACAATAGTAGTATTTATTTATTTATTGTCATTGTCAAGAACAATGAAATTGCGTTTGGGGCTTCCATACAACCCCAAAAAAAGAAGAAAATAATAAATACCCCTTAAAACCAAAGTGTACATATTTAACCCAGTGTGACTCCAATGCAATAAGACAATCCTTAGCAATAATGTTCGTAGAAATTCAGACAAAGACCTGAGAAACATGACAAAATACAACAATGCAACCCATTCAATATTATTGTACTGTGAGATATGATATCAGATATGATAGTTATCTATTTAAGAAAGAGGGGGGGGGGCAGGAGGGGGAAGAGAATAAAGATATGATGCACCAATGCAGACCAGTTCATTGCTATTAAGAAGTTGGATATGGTTATTGTCCGTGAGAGGGGGGCAGAGAGTTCAGGAGCCTCACAGCCTGTGGATACAGGCTGTTGGCCAGTCTGGATGTTCTGGCCTGTATAGACCTGTACCTTCTCCCTGAGGGCAGCAGATGGAAAAGGTGGCGCGCAGGGTGATGTTGGTCCCGCAGGATACTGTGCACCCTCCTCAGACAGCGAGTGGGGAAGATATTACTGATCTCTGGCAGACTTGTTCCAATAATTCTGCCAGCTTCTTTCACCACCCGCTGGAGTGCTTGCTGATCGGCCTTGGTGCAGCTGGGGAACCACACTAGAAATCCATACGTCAGAACGCTGCTGATGGCACAGTTGTAGAAGTTCAACATCAGAGATCTGGGAATGTGTGCGCTCCGCAGTCTCCTCAGGTAGTAGAGGCGCTGTTGGGCCTTCCGTGCAACTGAGGTGATATGGTTGCCCCAGGACAGGTCCTCGGTCACAGTTACCCCCAAGAATTTAAAACTGCTCACCCTCTCCACCGCCTCACTGCCAATGAAGAGAGGCAGATGGTTGTTATGACCCTCTTCCGGAAATCTACAATGATCTCCTTGGTCTTTTTGGTGTTTAAGACCAAGTTATTGTCGTGGCACCATGACTCTAGTTGTTGCACCTCTGTCCTATAGTTTGTCTCATCAGTTGTTGGATATAAGTCCGAGCACTGTAGTGTCATCGGCAAACTTAACAATGAGATTGGACGCGCAGGAGGAAATACAGTCATGGGTGAAGAGAGTGTATAGCAGAGGGCTCAGAACACACCCCTGAGGGGCACCGGTGTTGACCACAAGGGTGGAGGAGGTGTTCTTACCCACTCTGACACTCTGTCTACGGTTAGTGAGGAAGTCCACAATCCAGTTGCACAGAGAGGAGTTAAGTCCCAGTTGGTGGAGTTTGGGACGGAGTTTGTATGGCCGGATGGTATTAAAAGCCGAGCTGTAGTCTACAAAGAGGAGCCGTGCATAGGTGTTCCTGTGTTCC